AAAAAGCAATACGTTTAATAAAAAAAAGCAAACTCTCTGATCACACTCTCTGCTAGATTTCTTTGCTACCAATGCAAGACTAACCTTTCATCAAGAGCGATCGTCTGAACTTCGGAAAAAAAAAACCCTGCAAAGGCTCAGTATTACAATAAAAAAGAAGAAAACATACCTGAATTACTTTCTCCAAAATAATTCTTTTGATTGTAAGTTGACGCAGAGTCAATGTAAGTCCGATTGACTTATAATTGGTAGCCTCCGTACGTACAGACACCCCTTCTCCTTTCTTGATAGCCTGTTCCAGGCTCCGAGATGGTGGTGGAAAGTTCACATCCGAAAAACGCGCCACGTCGTGCGCGTCTTATTTTCGCTTTGCTCGTTTTAATACGTTCCCACTGTACTATCTGAGAGCCTGGCACAGGCTACTTTCTTGAACCCTTGGTTTCCGATAATTCGAACCAAATTTAACCTTCCGTCACCTGTCAAACTTTTTATGTTTACCCTCGAGTTTTTAAACCTCCTGGGTAATTCGCTCCAATTTGCTTTTCCCAAGATGGTTCGAAAAATCGATGTTCCACAAAGTTTATTGAACAAATGTATACATGTTTTGATCATTGGTTATGTAACCCTTTCTTTTACTAACCGGCATCCCAAGCTCACGTTACGAGTGTGTTATATAAGGGATGAACCATTAGACAAGTGATGGGGACGGGGGTGGAGGGGGGTTTAAGAAATGCAAGATTTTTTTTTTGAACATGTAAGGTGGAAATATATTTTTTCTTTTTTTACCCGATGGCTGGAATAAGTTTTTTTAGTAGGTGAATCTTTCATATGTTTCATATGTCACAAACCCGACAAACAGTATTGTTGTAATACATCTTTGTTTTACTTTATTCAACGCGTCAAAGGAACCTCAACTACTTTCTAGTTTATTCAAGGATTTAATTGACGTATTAAATAGGGTTATTTTTGGTGCGGTTTTGCAGTAAATGTTTTTGTTCAATATACGATATTACGGTTTTCAGAGTCCAAGCGGTATGCAGTGAATTTAAATTTTATGTCGCGGTAATCGGTGAAAAAAATGTTGTCTCGCGGTGATCTGCTTCCTCAGTTTTAAAGCATGACAACTGTACAAATCCTAAAAGATTTCATTGTCAGCATTGCGTAATCTACACGCACGCACGCGAGTGGGTTAAGAAATAATTCTGGCAGCTCAGTTTATCATGTTACAAATGTTTTTTTGTCTGTTACAAAGGTTTTTACACGAGAAGGCTGAAAGATAATCTATGATGATGTGGTCTAAAAATTACTACTCGTCCTACTGGTTGTGCATGAAGGAATATCGAAATAAATTTCATACTTATGTACTAGTATTTGGGTGTACTATGTGCCCATTTGCCTGCGTGCAGACGTCTAGGAGACGTCTGCAGGCAGGCAATGTGCCCATCGAATCCGGCCAGAGAGAGCCCAACGTAGTCAACCCATTCAGGGTCGACAACTGGGTCGACCTTGAAAACCTTCAACACAGAACCGAGTCAATTGTGAACGGGAGACAGCCTCATAGGAGTCAACTGTTTTCCGTCAGAGTCTATGATCCAGGTCAGTAATAAATAAAGTAATTCTAGAGAACGGTTGTTATATCAGTTACGTAAACGTTTAATGAACCAAAACGAGTCGAATGGTCGTATGTTTATCGTACCCTTAACATCGACGCCCCTTGATTTGGAAACACTGGCATAAAAATATTATTTCTATTTAAAAGGGAGATGATAGTCTTGAGAACGGCAATTTTTTTACCATCTGTAACTGCGGTTTCGGTATTTGGGTAAATTTCGATGCGGTATTGCGGTTTTCTCTCTCAACGACGTGCGGTATTGCGGTTTTCGGAGACCTCTCACGCCCCCCTCTAAATGATATTGACCAAACTATTACCTGTTATCGTTATCTGTATGTGACTAATTGATGGCCACTCAGGCAGCCCAGATGTATTGTATGTCAACGACAAAATATACTCCAAAGGCGCCGTGGACAAAATTTGCCCCAGGTTAAAAACTGAACAAAATCGACTAAACAAGCGCAAATTAAATGTGTTGATGTTGCTAATCACATGTGGTTAAGCCATTAATCTTTAGATGTGACAATTCCTAATATGTCTGCTAATGCGGATAGGTCCTATCTACATTAGATCAAGATCGACATTGAAAATACAATCGTACATTGAATACATTGAAAACACTTTTTAGGGTATTCAGAGTACTTTTAGATCTCTAGAAATGCATTCTAAGCGGCGCTATAAATAATCATCGGTAATAGGACTTACGTCACGATCTCGCAACCCAATGTCTGAAAAAGAAACACTTCTCACGCGGTTTCAGATGCAAATAAAGGTAAAAGAAAGTGAAGTTAATCGTGCAAATATCTTTTGCAGAAAAAAATTAAAGCAGAAGGAAGCGTGACCTTCCAAAACATTTTTTCTTCAAGGACCGGCTTTCAATTTGCCCCTCAGGGGCATGTCAGTTGGTAACCTTGCTTTTTCAACTTCGGGCCATAATGTCACCGTTAACGGGACGTGAAAAGCATGACATTATAAGCAAAAGTCAATGCGGTTTTCGTGCCAAGATCGCTCTTTTTTTCAGAAATCATTTAGTATAGATGACCACGCCCTAAATCGGATAATGATTTTAAAAGTTTTACAAAAGCCCAGAGTATCACAGATTTTATTATACTGATGATTAATTGGTGACAAAACTTCGTGTCGTCCAAATCGTCCACTTAGTCCTATTACCATATATATAGCGCCGCTTAGAATGCATTTCTAGAGATCTAAAAGTACTCTGGATAGCCTAAAAAGTGTTTTCAATGTATTCAATGTACGATTGTATTTTCAATGTCGATCTTGATCTAATGTAGATAGGACCTATCCACATTAGCAGACATCAGGAGCCCATGGGCTCCTGCAGACATATTGGGAATTGTCACATCTAAAGATTAATGGCTTTTAGCAGACATAATTAGGAATTGTCACATCTAAAGATTAATGGCTTAACCGCATGTGATTAACAAGATCAACACATTTAATTTTCGCTTATTTAGTCGATTTTGTTCAGTTTTTACCAGGGGCAAATTTAGTCTACGGTGCCTGTGAAGATTGTCTCGTCTCAAACAAACTATATTTTGCGGCTAGGCCTAGTATATACAGTACATCTGGGCTGCCCGAGTTGTCATCAATTAGTCACAGACAGATAACGATAACAGATCACACAACAGAACAGATAATAGTTTTATTTAGAGGGGGACGTGTGAGGGCTCCAAAAACCGCAATACCGCACGTGGTAGAGAAAGAAAACCGCAATACCGCATCGAAATTTACCCAAATACCCAAACCGCAGTTACAAATGGTAAAAAAGTTGCCCTTCTGAAGACTAACATCTCCCTTTTAAATAGAAATAACATTTTTATGTCAGTGTTTCCAAATCAAGGTGCGTCGATATTAGGGGTACGATAAACATACGACCATTTCACTCGTTTTTGTTCATTAAAAACGTTAATGTAAATGATATAACAGGCGTTCTCTAGAATTACTTTATTTATGACTGACCTGGATCATAAACTCTGACGGAAAACAGTTGACTCCTATGAGGCTGTCCCCTGTTCACAATTGACTCGGTTCTGTGTTGAAGATTTTCAAGGTCGACCCAGTTGTCGACCAGTGAAGGGGTTGACTACGTTGGGCTGTCTCTGGGATTCGATGGGCACATAGTACACCCAAATACTAGTACATAAGTATAAAATTAAATTCTATACATTCCGTCATGCACAACGAGTAGGACGAGTAGTAATTTTTAGACCACATCATCTTCATAGGTTATCTTTCAGCCTTTTCGTGTAAAAACCTTCGTAACAGACAAAAAGACATTTGTAATATGATAATCACGAAAATTGAGCTGCCAGAATTATTTCATAACCCACTCGCGTGCGTGTAAATTAAACATGCTGACAATGAAATCTTTTAGAATTTATACAGTTGTCATACTTTAAAAAAGGAAGCAGATCACCGCAAGACAACAATTTTTTCACCGATTACCGCGACATTAAATTTAAATTTACCGCATACCGCTTAGACTCTGAAAACAGCAATACCGTACTTTCAAATAAAAATTACCGCAAAACTGCACCAAAAATAACCCAATTTAATAGGTCAATTAAATTGTTAAATAGACTAGAAAGTAGTCGAGGTTCCTTTGACGCGTTGAATAAAGTAAAACAAAGATGTATTACAACAATAGTCTTTGTCGGTTTGTCGGGTTTCTGACATATACTGAACATATGAAAGTTTCACCTACTAAAAAAAAATTAGCCATCGGGGAAAAAAAAAAAAGATTTCCACCTTACATGTACAAGAAAAAAATCTTGCATCTCTGAAAAAGCATTTCAGGTGTAATTCTTTTTGTCTACAGGTTGATGATTGGAAGCCCTAAAAATGACAGAGAAAATTATCCAAGAAAATGCTTTTGAGCACAAGAAAAACAAACCAGGGTTAATTTAACCGCACTGGTTAAGCGCTAATCGGCCTTCGAACAACTGGCCCCAGATTGTTATCTAGGGAATCAGGATTGTAAGTTACATAAGTGAACGGTATGTGCTGTACATCTACCTGACCTCTGAATAAACAAGTTTTGGCCTTTACGTTCGAATTATCGGAAACCGAGGGTTCAAGAATGGGGAAGGGGGTGTCTGTACAGAGGCTACCAATTATAAGTCAATCAGACTTAATATTGACTTTCCGTCAACTTACCATCAAAAGAATCAGTTTCAAGAAAGTAATTCAGGTACGTTTTCCTCTTTTTTATTGTGATACTCAGCCTTTGCAGGGTTTTTTAAGACAATTTTCCGAAGTTGAGACGATTGCTCCATGATCATAGCTTTTGCTGTTTTTATTAAATGTATTGCCTTTTGATTTTCCAGTTCCCGTCGTAGTCGTCTCCGTTGCTTAAGCTTCTAGTAGAGCCACCACACAAAAACAATCCTTGATACGGCAAGTGACGATTTCGTTGACGAAACCGACGATTTGATGGAAAATGTGCGACGAAAGGTACGTCCGCACCAATACCCATGCCAGTCAGACGCTCAATACTAGAACCATGCACTTACAGTCCTAAAGCAATCGGAGTCCCTATGGTTTTAAATATAATCAGTTATGTTTATATTTCATTTTAATTCACCGGCCCTGTTATTAATTTACAGACAGTCAAATTAACTTTGAATATCGATAAATCATTTTCGAGAGAAATACTATGATAATTGTGGGCGGTTGTGCTCCAGGGCACGCTATCGCTGTGTAACTTAAAAAAATTGCTTGACAGTGGCAAAACGCCATACAAACCGAATGAGCAATAATAGGGTGTTTTCATTAAGCCTGAACGAAAATTTCGCTGTTCCTTATTCAGTTCGGGAGTATGCCAGTTTTGGAAGAAGCGAAAACAATAGTCTACGTCACCAACCATAACATGATCACCATGGCGATGGCCATTTTCAAAACATACAAAATGGCGGACAAGGGAGAGGAGAAGAACGAGTATTGACCAAAATTCTCGTTTATTCTTGTTTTATCGAGCCTTTTATTTGTCTTTTTGTTACTATGAATTGGGAAGTACCTTGAGGACAGGGAGTAACCATTCTTGCGCTATAGTTCTTCGCTTATCGCGCGCTTAGTAGGCACTGCGTACTCACTGCGTATGTAATCAGTACATCGAAAATAGGTAAGCACGCTAACAAGTTTGTGCCTATTTATTTCATCATTTTTTTATATCATAAGGAAAAAAGAATGCTTTGGAAACAACTAAAAAGTGAGTTGTTCTATAATTCATTGTAATTTTTCCCGTTGCATCTGTTTCACTCCCGCGAGTGAGCGACTGGCCGGAGAAGACGGCTGTAATTCAGGTTAGTGTTTTGGTGCAAGCGAGTCATTTGTGAGTAAAATATCTGTTTTTTCGAATATGATGTTCTGTTGGTTTATGTCTTGAAGCAGTTCCGTCCAGGTATACAACAGGTTTACAAGGGATTTCTGAGGGTATTGTGCCCGCGTTTTCTTCTTGAAAACCCACAAAGTGAAAATCTTACTTATCATCCCAGATCATTTTTTTTTGTCCCGCTTCAAAAAAACCTGTTGCTTTCAATTATTCCACTTTCTGAAGTTAACTGATTATTTGGTCAAGCTTAACAAATGCAAGAGGCTCTTAAGAATTTAATATACATATTGGAAAACTAAGAATTATGCTTCTTACATGCTTTTGGATCTGTTGATTAAAATGGGATACTATAGTCTTGGTAGTCCACCGGATTTGACCAGAGGTCAGAGATCAACAAGGTTATGATTTGTTATAAAATATCCTCTTGTAAGGGATTTGATGTTACATCCAAATAATACTAAATTACTGTTTTTAACTCTGGGGTTGCCTTTAAACCAAAGGCATTGTAACTTTGAGGAGCACTTTTCTCCAAGTCTTCTCTGTGGGGACCCTCAAACAATTCTATTAGACAAGGTTTGGCCCAAAATAATAAATGATTACTGCCCTTGGCATGGACACAACATAAGTTTTCCAAAGTTCTTTTTCATAGCCGGTTCTTCATGTTTCTATTGAACAGCACTTTCAAGAAAACAAAGCTCACACATCAGAGTAAAGATACAATAAAAGTTATTTATTGTTATATTTTGTTTTTTTGTAAATAAACATTTTATTTTAGGTCCTGACAGTTAATTCTTTCCGTATTACTGTTTTTGATCCTGACCTGCATGACTCGCTGCCATGGCTACCTGGCTCGCATATTATACACACTTTTTATCTCAAAATCTTGTTTTTTAACACCTTCTTGGACATGAAAACCAAAATCCAAAACTTAATTGATATAATGAAGACAGTAGCAGCTGACATCGATTTTCAATAGTTATCTTGTGAGATGTCTCTCATGTATTATTTATTGGGGAGGATGATTTGTAGAAGACGATGCATTAACATAGATGCTTTTTCATCAAGAGAATCTCAATAATTTAGGATTTATTCAAATACACACATATTCGATATTATGACATCAAATGTGGGCTTATTGCTCATGTAAAGGGATTGATGGGGGAGAGTGTGGCATTTTTCATGTTTCTGATTGACCTTTTGCGCAGCACAGGGACTGAACATATTATGTATTTGGCATCTGTAAAGTATAAACAATATTTGACGCGAGGGATTGAACATTATGTAGAGAAAATCTTCACAAGCCTCCACTTCCATGACTCCTTCCTCATCTATCTCCTTTAAAGCCCCTTGAATAAGGGCCACAGTCTCTTCTATGGTTGAATGGTCATTGAGTGTGAGCTTCCACTCACAAGGTACATAAGCCCCCCCTCCAACCTGTTTCCCTCTTACCCATTTTTGAAAGGGTCAAAGGAGGGGCTTTTGTGGTGGGTAAGCCTGTGACCACACTACAAAGAAACAAAAAAAACATGGTTAATTCTATTGAGGTAGGGTTGAAGTTGGACATTAAATTTTTCATTACAGTGGAACATAAGGCGAACCTAAAGCAATATTTTGCCCTCAGAGCACAAATATGTCGTTCTGAAGATATTTAGCATTTTGTCTTCCTGGTTGCTTTTCCCAGCTTTTTGGCACAAACGCGACAACATGTTTGTAATATCTCCACATGTTTGTCTACATTTTTGACGGAAATCCTGATCAAAATAAAAGAAATCAATGTAAGAACCTACTCACACTGATTTAAAACTAATTCCACACACATGATCTGGATCAATAAAGTGATTTCTAGATGAGAGTCGCATAAATTGCCGGTGAACACGACCAAAAACAGACCTGATCGATTATAACTGAAACTACATATACAGGCTAAGGCATAACCATCAATATCAGTAACCCTTCCTGTCCGTTGGCAATTTTCAATGTGTGGTTGCCATTTTTACTAGGTTGTTGCCATCGATGAAACTTTGCCTGAACACACTTTAAACGTTGTAGTTTTGAGGAAAATTAGTCTTGACTTCGTAAAAATTCGGCAACATACTGAAAACTAAACATAAAGTCATGTACTTACATTCGATACCCGTCAAGATGGCGGCGGCGGCGTCGAAGGCCATTTGAAAACTGTCGCTTTTAACTACCGAAATGTGGCAGGAAAGTTCCCTTGACATTCAAAAAGCAAGGAGAAGGCTTCTTCACCGGTACTGCTAGCTCGGAAGTCCCGGATATTGAACGAGGAGAAGTGGAACAGGCTTTGAAAAAAGCTCCCTTGTTTCTTGCGATTATTTTTTCCTATTTTTGCGTGTTTTTAGCAGAACAATGGAATCATGACGTCATCGCTTCTTCCAAAACTGGCATACTCCCGAACTGTTATTCCAGTCAAAATGAGAAAAATTATTATTGCAAAGGGCATTATTGACCACCTGATTATTCCATTATTCTAAAGGACAAGATTTCTGTGATTATTTATCTTCAGTCACTGAAAAAGAATTACTTTACACAGAAATTTTTGTACTTCATACTACTTCAAGAAAACCATTGAAGTTTGACCATTTTCTAATCCCCTATACTGCCCCCTCCCCCTCCCAATGTGTCGTTAATGATGTATATTTTGCAAACCCTCCATTCTTACTTTAGGTTATAAAAAAGCCGCAATCCTTATGACAGCCGCTTTGTTTGTGTGACTCAACATCTAGGATATAAACAAGTTCTGATGTGATTCAGTTTGTTTTTGAAATCAAGTAAAAAGTAATTATAAATGCGAGGTAGTGTTAAACGGAGTGATTCTCACTTAGCCGAAGCTTAATTTTATGTAAGAGATGAATGCATTTAATCGCTTTATTTTGAGTCATTTAAGGCAATGGACTACAAAAGCTTAACGTTCGACTCTTTTATCAGCCGGTTGGCGCCATTTTTAATTATAGTTTTCCTCCTTACTGAAACATGGCGCGCTATTTCTTCGGGCCAAATCTAATTATTAGAATTATTAGAAATAACTACAGTCAAACCTATATCTTTGGGAATGGCTTACTGACCGCTTAATACAGGTTGACTCTTTCATACAAGTTTGACAAACCTATCTACGACCGGAGTTTATCAAGAAAATCAAGATGGTGACAAAGCGAAATATCCACAACACGGCAACTGTTGAAAGGGTACACAAACTGTTTTACCTTTTTTTGTGCCAAAGTGACCGTTGAAGAGGTGGAGACAATAAAAAATAAGTCGTTGGGACCATGAAAAAGGTGACCTCTTCAGAATATAAGGCCCCGTTCAGACGCCGCTCCACTCATGTGCCGAACCTAACTGATGATTTAAGTACGGCAAAAGAGCGGCGTCTGAATCAATTTGGTACGGCACTTTTAGTTTGGTGCGGCAAAAGCGTTAAGTTCGACAGAGTCTGTCGGACTTTTGTCGAACTTAACTTAGGTTCGACACACGGTACGCCGTCTGAATCAGATGTCGCGCCAGTGTCGCTCCAAAGTCGAACTTCTTCAGTTAGGTTCGGCACATGAAAAGTACGGCGTCTGAACCAGGTCTAAGAAACCACTTACTACAGGTCAGTTCTATAGTAATTCCGGGACTTACGAAAGTGACCGCTTAATGCAGGTCCACTCAACTTAATAGCGGAGCTCCCGCGCGCGCGCAGCGGAGCACCATGGGTAAGAAAATTTGGTAAACTATCCATTCCAGAAAATTTGGTTATGACGTAGCGTACGCCCGTCCGTACACACACTTCATGTAAGCCGATGTCAAATGTCACAATAGATCTTGCACAACTTGACTAGCCTCTTAGTTATGTAAGCCATCCGTATGAGTACGATTAGATTGACAGCTGTCAAAATCAGACATCCGCTGACAATTATCACATGACCGTCTCGCGGGCTCAGATAAAAAACCAGTCGTTTTGCCCCTATATATAAGCTGCTATAATATGTCACACTTACCAATTCAACATAAAAACGAAACTACGCCGGGCAAGGCTGTCAGTTGGCTGAGAGTCGTTTAAAGTTACATTGGCAGGCCAAATTAAGGTCAATTGACAGCTTTCAAAATGGGACATGTGCAGACCGCTATCAGAAAACTAATAACGAGGGCTCAGGTTCGCTCAGGTACACGATCTGGCATTTTCCACTACATGCCGGACAGAAATGTCCTACTCACACTCGTAGTCTGATAATTCGAATATTCGCCATTCTAATAAAGGTTAATTGACAGCTGTCAAACTAGAGTATACGCTGACCATCATCGCCTGAGTGGATCGCGGGCTCATTTTTCTATCTATTGAGGTCACGTAGTGTTTAAAGTTTTGCGCTGACAATGTTATTTCTGACGAATGAGCCCGCGAAGAAGGCAGAAATAAATATTTTGACGGCACGAGATACAACAGGGCCTGGGTACTAGGCCGGGTGCACCATGGGTAGCCATATCGGGGGTATATAAGGTTGCGTATATCACGTGTTCGTCATCTAGGCTTACGAACCAACCTCTCCTCGGTTTTTCTTAAATTTTTGTTTTATTTATTTTAGGAGCAACATATTCTCGATTACATTGTAAAGTCCCGTAGGAAGGGCTTTGAGCTTGAGCCTTGGTTCCTACCCAGATTTCCTGCCCGCATTTTTTCCCTTCGGGGTTTTTTTGGGCAGGTTTTTTCTGGCCTCCGTCTGACCGCATTTACTTCAGCTTGTAAGCGGTAGCTCAGCTCTGCTAGTTTTCAGCCTTTTTCCCGTTTCTTATTTTATGTACTTGTACACTAGTTATCTCAGTTTTGCACCTGCTCCTTTACTTGATATATTTAGTTTCCATGTATGCTTAGGTCAGCTGTCCCGGAACCGCTCTTTAGGAGGCGACGTAAGTCTCGTTTGACGCAGTTAGGTTGCAGGCAATGTTACAGACCTCTAGCCAGGGTCGTTATTCATTGTTTACCCTCAATGTCCCGCCCTAGCCTTTTATGGCAGTCTTACTGGTTATTGGGCTACGTGCCTTGTTGGGTACATTAGTGGAGATAATTCCCAGTTTTCCTGGCACTCAGCTTCTGTGCTCCTGAAGTGTTCCCGGTCGCAGTTATACGTTTATCACAGTTTTATTAAATTTCCCCGGCCTAACTGGCACTAAGCCTGCGTGCTTATTTGGGCGATTCAGGTCGAGATCGACCAGTTGTAGCAGTTTTTTCTTTTTGCTTAGCCTCTGTGCTCCTACCGTGTTCCTCGTGCCAGTTATGCGTTGTCTGAGTTTTATTAATTAGTTTCCCCAGCCTAACTGGCAGCCTAACTGGCACTAAGCCTGTGTGCTTATTTGGGGGATTCAGGTCGAGATCGACCAGTTGTGAGGAGTTTTTTCTTTTTGTTTAGCCTCTGTGCTACTACCGTGTTCCGTGTGCCAGTTATGCGTTGTCTGAGTTTTATTAATTAGTTTCCCCAGAATGACTGGCAGCCTACCTGGCACTAAGCCTGCCTGCTTAAATGGGAGATTCAGGTCAAGAACGACCATTTGTCGCACGAGTTTTATCTTTTTGTGAAAGCTAGTTTACAAGTGTTGTACATTGGGTATTCACCAGTATTCACCTATTATTGTATTTACATAAATACTTTGTAGGGTTGGTTCTCGCCAAGCTGTCCCAAAATAAACTTATTTGCCATTACGTTTTGTCTGTTGATGTTGTGTAGTGGAGTCAAAATTGTTATTTGATCACGGGCTCCATTCGAAGCCCCATAGCTTTATAGAAAATCTATCCATCCTAGAAAATTCGGCAAACACGTGACCGTACACCGACCACCCGACCCTCCGTCCGTCCGCACCACAGGCATACCAATGTTTAATGTCACACTTTCTAGCTAGTTTGGGAGCCTGCAACCTGATATTGTACATCCATGTTTTGATTAATTGACAGCTGTCAAAACAGTGTTTCTGCTGACCAGTATCGCCTGACCGTATCGCGGGCTCAGGTATCGACCCTCTGAGTTCGAGTAATATATTGAAGGTATTCGCTGACAAGTTGCTACTTTTCAAATGATCGTAGACTCAAGTTCAATTTTTTTAAAATGCATATGAAATAAGTCGTGTTTCATGAGCGGCACTTTTAAAATGTTGATTTCGAACTGATCTCGGACACGAAAATTCAACCGGCTTTTACATTTACATGCAGGGAAGGCAATCGCTTTTGACTTTTCTCACTGTCACGCGTTGATCACGCTCTACGTCCAATTTTTATGTTCTGATTGGTCAAAATTTGACAGGTGAGTTTATGCGGAAAATTTTTGCAGCGTCTGGAAACTTGCTTACTGATAGCTGGAGCTGAGAGAGTTTTGTGTCATCTTGTGATGTTTTAAACTGTCTTTTTCTACTTGGTCTACAAAATGAAATACAGCTGCTATCAAAATTGTTCTGTAATTCGTGGCTGGTTTGTTTATTGCGCTTTTTGTTGACAAATGCACCGCTTGTCAAGGTCATTGGAAATCCGATTTCGGATGGCATCGTTTCCAAAAATGAGCTTACTCACTTGCCCTTGCTTGAGGTGTAAGAAGGTTGAAAAGTCTCAAGCGATTCCGGAACACTTGATGACCTTCAGAAGCAGCATCTCGACTGGTAAGCTTGAGCCATTATTGTTTTTGATGTTTTTTTTTTTTTCGGTTTCCTGAAGTCGAGCGTATGGTTTATGCGGCTTAAGTTAAAACACGAGCAATGATCTAACCTACAATACTATCAGGTGTAAAAAGCCTTTAGACATTTTTTGACCCGCAAATTCAAAGAAAAGGTTCCGAAGATTATTTAGTTATGATTTTGGCTGTAAACAGAAAGCTCTGAGCGATTTTCTTGCCTCGAGTTCATCTTGAAAAAGAGCGAACACCGGGAAGCTGGCTTAAAACATAAATAAGCTTATGCTTGCCTGACTCATGATTTTCTGAGACGTTACTCTCAATACTTCTCTTCGTGAATGAAAGTTATTGTCTCTGTACATGTTTCACCGAATTAAACTTATTTTATTGATTGTTAGTAGTCCCTCTCGCAATTTTCATCGCTGCACCGGTTGTTTCCAGTCGAACATAAACATCCCATGTAGGAATACTCAAAACGCCGCGCGTAAATATCACTCGCTTTTAAAGATTACACATAACAAAATCATACACAGTTTAATGAATTAAGGGAAATAAAACCTAAACATAACAATTTCTCTATCATGTTGAAGCGTAAATGGTAACTCTATTAATCGCACTGCAAATTTGGTGCCTGTCAAAAGTGAGAACCCGTTCGGCTGGCCGAAAAGTGATTTTGGGAATTTTTTTTATCGTTTTCATAAAAAGCCCATAATTATTACCCCGCATATCCCATAGGACCAGATTTTTCTAACAGAAAACGTTTTATAATTCAATGCTATAATTTGTTGTGCAAAGGAAGCGCGTGCTTTGATCGTCGTGGATATTGAATGAGTGCAAATTCTCTTGCAAAATTGTGAAAAACTGCAGAATTATAGGTTTAAATAGGGCAAAAAAGAACAAATTCTGTCCGAGGTCTGTGTACTTTTTACCTGAGACGTGATGAGAAAAAGTATGTTTAAAAGGCTGGTTTACACGCCACCAGATTCGTCGCCAAGATTTACTAGTAAACTTAACTTGTCGAACACAAAAAATCCGGCCTGATTTTTATTTTGGCCTTTCTTTTAGACAGAGGAATGCAACGTGTAAATTGGCTGGCACCAAGGACTATCGTGGCGCATGTGTTTCTTAAAATTATATTTCGGGGTTGTCCAATTATCCATAGTCTCTCTAACGGAGCAATGTTGGAGAGACTGGTGAATGCCACATTATGATGCTACAGCTAAAGCAAATACAATACACGAATAGGTCTATTTGTTTTCCAGGCCTAATCTACTGTGATCGAACATGATTGCTATTTTTCGGTGTACAAATAACTTGATGTAAAATTTGTTTCACTCTTGGACGGTCAAATTCTGATTTTTCTCTAAAATCACTCAGACTTTGCCTCAAAAGTCAAATGAATGTGCCCTGATCTGTGAATTACAAGTTTATTGTTTGATTTAAATTATGAATTTATTAACGGGAGCTTCGCTTTTAGCCCTGGCTAAATCTATATATTACTACTTCAGAAAACCATTGACGTTTGACCATTTTCTAATCCCCACGCAATACCAGCCATCATTTCCTAGCCTTAAAAACATTCTTATGAAACCTGGCAAAAGATAGAGAACCAACCTCGACAACCTCTTCTTAGTCAGAGTACAAAGAACCTCCAATTATATCGTAGAAACGAGGAAGGTCTCTGAAGGATATACTCGTAAAAGCTAAACTCTGAGAATTAGATGAATTAAAGGCTGTAAACACGTGGGTGGAAAGCGTGAGGTCAGGCTTCTCTTTATCATGTGATATGTTGCAATTTATCGCGCGACCTAATTTTCTCATTTATCGGGCGATAACTTAACAATAAATAAATCTCATGTCCTTTACGGGCCACCGAAAGTATGGCCATATTTTAGCAAGGACGAAAATCAAAATGGCACAGACTGGCAGATAAAAATAAGTAGCTTAATTTGAGGTCAGGCGGTGTGCGTCACGAGATTCGACCAATCAGAATGCGTCATTTGTGGAGTGATTTTCGCGCTCGGAAAGAGCTGTTTTCAGAGTATACGTGGTGAAATTTTCGCTTTATTCCAAGCTTGTGTTAGCAATTTCGACACTATACCGCCGTGAAAAAATGTTGGAACACTTTATCGTGAGAGCAGTTGCGTTACTTTTAAATATTTTGCTTTCTTGAGCGTTTGTGACAAGTTTGAATTGCTCGGTCATGTGCAGGCCGCCATGATGATTTGAGTGTGGTTTTTGCCGTTCTTCTTGGATTTATTGCTGGTTACTGTTAGCGGTTTTATCGAATTATTTTGGCCATCTTGTTACTTCAACGTTTCTTCTTTGCAAATTTCGGGGTCTACCCGGGTCTACCCCTGTTAGTTTTCCCGTTATGAGCCGTTGAAAGTGTCTTGGAATTAAGACATCGTCTCAGCCAAGTGGCACAAGTCCCGGGAAACGGGCTGAGAAAATATGCCGAAGCGGAAGCCGACGTGAAGCGAGTAACGCCAAATCCAGGAAGAGTTTGCTCCATTTTAAAGCACAAAAGGTAAATAAGTTTGAGTATTGTAATAACCTTTGGAAACAAAACATTTTTCATAACCTAGTGCGGAAACTGAAAGCGTGACTTTAAAATAATTTGCATGCGGTGTGTGCTACGTGTATGCAAATCTTTGTGTAAACTTATGTGAGGGAATAAATTGTTATAAATCTCTACCAAAACACAAAACCATTATCGAAGATCCAGACAACATCATACAGGATTTTAAAACTGTGAGGTTAGGTTTTACTTTATAACAAGATCGATATACTGCGCTCACTTCAATGACCGCACAGACAAGATCGTGGTTTATTTCACTGTTTATTTCTGCGGCTGTAGCTTCGGTGAAATTCCGATTGTGCTGCAGCTGTTCGGCTCTTTCGGCCTGTTTCCCCTTCCCTGACAGAAGATTTATTTGCGCATAAGGATTTCAAACGGGCACTGTTTTCAAAATAATATAAACTTGTCGATGAAAATAAAATTGTTATGAGAGACGATTTCTCACCTTGCTGTTTGCACGCGCTCCCCCTGCTTAATGCCGGTAACAAAGTCCATCAAATATATAAACAGTTCTAATTTACGAATTTTTTTTTTAGTTAAGCAAATCCAGGTATGAACTACAGATCTCTTTCACTATGAGATAAAAACATACATATAAACCAAACAGTACATAAAATCTTATGAGAAGCAGGAAATTAGTCGCCGCTCAAAGTCGGCTAGATCGCACGATCGTCTCCGAATCGCGATAAACTTCTTGAAATTGCCTTATGAAGCCAATAGCAAGCATCTAAGGCCACTATGAGATCTTGAAAATTCTCGAAATCGCTCTCTTCAGTAATGTTTTTCGGAAAAGGCAGCAGTGTTTTGAACCCTGGGTTTGATTCATTTCTCTTACGAGATGCGAACTCGACCGTGTCACGATTGAAATGAGGCACAGTAACAGTTTTACCCATGAACCTTTGTGGGCCGTGACGCATGAGGCGTAATTAAGAGCCAATGTCTGTAATTTTCGAGGATCGGTTGACAGTCGTGAATTTTTGAATTTCTTCATATTTTGCTCAAGTAATCTCTATAGTACACTAATTTCAAAAATCACGTTAAAACTTGTAACAGCTTTTTTATTTTTTCAGGAATCAGGCAAAGTTTGAAAAACTCTAAATCGGCGCTCTTTCGAGTATGAAATTAGCGAAAATTGAGCATTTTCTTCGCGCTCGTACATAAAAACGGAACAATATCTCTAGGTGAAATCAAGTCACAAAACAGACACACATTTTTACTCTATAATTCAGCAGTTAACTTTAAATAAACCGTTTAAATGTGACTGTACCGGCCGCAAGAAGAATCACGGTTTCAGCACTTTTCAAAAATGGCAAATTTGACCTAACTTCACTATCGTAAAAACCCAGTTGGTACATGGAATTTCAGTATGAAACAAGAACTGCATTGAAGCATATCCTTTGCTGTTGTTTGTGTTAAAATATTTCTGGCGGCATTCCAAATGCACACCGTCGAGAGACCAAAACCTGAAGGGTATTTTGACACCAGGAAAGCGCGTGCAAGAAACAAGTTTCAAAGCTTGGAATATTAATCCTTCGCAAACCTAAGTTACTTCGACATTTCAACCCTAGTCAGAGTTGTAACGGTTTCAGATTATATTTCGGCGTTTCTGTTCGGTTTAACATGATTCCTTTCAACCGATTTTTGCGATAAACCATAATGAAGAGACGAATACGCAGTTCAAATCACAGTTAGTACAGGGGAATATTGTCGAAATACTCGCTTGCTATAGTTTTAATCGTATTGAAACCTTAATATCAGAAAAGTTATTTACTTACCAGAATTTAAATGCTAGACAGGGTCACAGTACTGCTAACTAAATTCTGCATCTCGGCAGAATCGAAGTTAAGTTTGTATATGTTTTCAATCTGTCAACACGAGGGAAGATGACATTCTGGAAGTGCGTGACGCGTAACGCGCCGAAAAAGAAATTCCTGGTATAAGTGTTTTACGGTGCAAGTCTTTGTTGTATGTTCGTACAGCATCTCGCACATATTCAAACTTGGTTTGTGGCGCCTGTGGCCCCAGTAATGCTGAACGTATTGCGATCATAGAAAAGATGTCGTGAGTCACTTGGTATGCTCCTGACTTGTTAGTCACGTGAGTATGTAGGGCAATAACCAAACATCGACCCTACCATGCTAATGATAAAAGTAAGGTTTTCTGCATTTACGTTAGGTGATCTTTGTTTGATCCACAAAATTGGCGCATGAAAATAAGAGTTTTTCCTCACCACCTCTGAATGTTTGGTTCCGGGTAGCGGTGCAACAAATCACGTGGTACCTTTCTAGATCAACCTACTGGCTGCTCATAGAGGGGTCCATAAAGGCACATTGATTGATACGCAGACGTTTTCTAAGCGACGAATGTGCAGCTTTTACACTCCTCTTTCGTTTCGAAAATAAACAAGCACGCGAGCGAAGCGAGTGCGCGAGAGAGCCCCTTGCTCTACTGGTCAATAAATCCCCCGCGGCTTTTATTTTCATACGCAAAATCGACGATCTCCAAAGAGAAAATAGATCGACGATCTCTAATGAAAAAGTAGAGGGTCCGTGAACAGGCTACGAAGGTGCTTGCTATTATTTTAGTGAACTTTACAAGAGGTCTCAGGTGATTATGCTAACGTCATAAAAAGTCTACTTTAGGAAAGGATGAGGAGATGGATGGGTTGGTTGGCATTGGGTTCTCCATTAGGCTCAACCCTACACATACAAAAATTCATGTATTTATCACTACATTTAGAGCGAACAGACTTTGTTTGATCCACAAAATTGGCGCATAAAATCAAAAGTTTTTCCTCACCACCGCTAAATGTTTGGTTCCGGGTGGCGGAGAACAAAGCGCGTTGTACCGTTCCAGAACAGCCTACGGGCCATGCTGGCTGCTCATTTAAAAGGGATCCGTAAAGGCACATTAATTGATGACTCTGTGCGGCCTGAAGAAAATTATATACGCAGACGATTTCTGAGTGACGAAGGTGCTGCCTTTACACTTCTTTTTCTTTTCGAAAATGGCCACGGACTTCTCTCCTCGCTCCTCGCCGCTAGGCGGTCGTTTTTTCCTGAGAGATACCACCACGAAGGAGTTTTAGCACGCAAGTCACTGCTGGTGCAGACCTAGAAAAAGGGCATTCTCCATCTGAAATTTTAAATCGAAATGAAAGGCTGTTTTCAGCCTTTTATCTCTTTTCTCCGCAACGTATTTGGTTAAAAGATAGTAAGTAAAATGGCTGAGGCACTTTAAAGCATTTTTTTCATTTTCGCGACGGATTTTGACGTTATGAAAAAGAATTTGTCAGTGAATTGGTTTATTTTCTAGCCTGCGAACAAGTGCCGGGGGGATGGTGGTCGATAGAGCCAGGTGACTACACCTTTTTTCAGGCGGGAGCTAGCAGTACGTAAATTCTGGTCTACCCCATACTGTGTAGACTGGCCTTTAAGGGCCTCTGTTCGGGGGGCGAGGGATCAGTACAATTCGTCAACTGCAGGTTGAGGTCTCGCCAGAAGATGCCCTTGCTGCAGAGGAGCAAAGCAATACTACTTTCAGTAATTTAAACATATTAAATACTTGTATTTCGCTCATCAAATGTGTCCATTGTCCATTTTCGATTTGTGGTTTTTCAGGAATGTTCTTTTGTGGAGCATTGGCCAATTTTCTTTAAACAGTTTTACTCGTTTCCATTTCGCTGCTCTACCCTCATGTTGCATATGGCGTACGTGTGTACCTAAATCCCTCAATTCATACTGAGGTGATCGATAAAGAAGTCTATACTCTAAGCCGGGTTAAGATTAGTTTATGACAAGCAAAGGCGCAGAAGGCTAAGTGCAAATAAAAAAAACTAGTTTGAAAAGTTTTGCAGACTGGGCTTACTCTATTTGTTTTCTTTCTCTATTTGAGTTTCGGCTGGTGACATCCTAAAATCAAGTTTAGTTCCACATGTTTTGGGAATATAAAATATAAAACTAAAAAAAGCAGTGTTAATTGTACACTCGTGCGATGATGATCCTGGTCCGTACAGTTGCGTGACCAGACTCAAATTACACACGGGCTTTCATCACGCATCACAGCGTTTAGTCTGAGGCTAAACGACGGAAGATTTCAGTAAACTGCGGCCACTTGCGGTTGAAACGACTGTGGTAAGTAATTCTTAGAGATCTCGAATCCTATTTAGAGCTAGCACGCCGTTTCTAGCGGCTTTATTTTAGGCGCAGAAACTCGAAGTTAATATTTACACTCCATGAGAACTTAACAGCGTTGTCTTTTTCAGCCACTTGCGTGCAATCAAATGCAGTGTTAATCTACTTAGTTCTTTTTTATAACCATCAAATTGAAAAGCGTTTTTCAAAAGATTTTTAGAGCTTCCCGTAATGTGCCCCTTGTAAAAGAAGCTAAGTTAGCAAAAACTTTTGTGTGCCTACACTCGCGGCTAGCTTGTTCTTAGCGTTCCAACGTGCGAAACTACGCTGCACGTTTCGGTGTCTCAGCGACGCACTTTTGTAATGCCGCCAAAAATTTTTTAACACAAGAAACGGCAAAGAATATGCTTTAAAATAGTGTTTGTTTCATGTTGAAATTCCATGTATCAGTTGTTTTCTTCGATGGTGAAGTTAGCTCAAATTTGCCATTTTTGAAAAGAGCCGAAATCGTGTTTCTTCTTGCGGCCAACACCCAGTCACATTTAAACAGCTTATCTAAAGATAATTGCAGAATTATAAAGTACAAGTCTGTGTTTTCCTTGTGCCTTGATTTCATTTAGAGATGTCATCCCGTTTTTATGTACAAGCGCGAAGAAAATGCTTAATTTTCGCCAATTTCAAACTCGAAAGAGCGCCGATTTGGCGTTTTTCTAACTTTGCCCGATTCAGGAAAAAATAAAAAGCCGTTACAAGTTTTAATGTGATTTTTGAAATTAGTGTGCTATAGAGATTATGTGGGCAAAATATGAAGAAATTCAAAAATTCACGACTGTCAACCGCTTCTCGAAAATTACAGACATTGGCTCTTAAGCGTTCACTGCGAGAGCACGCCCTGGAGCACAACTGCCCACAATACTATTAATAGAAAAGGCCAACTATTCATTAATAACAGGGCCAGTGACTTAAAATGAAATATAATTAATGGCTTAACCACATGTGTTTAACAAGATCAACACATTTAATTTGCGCTTGTCTAGTCGATTTTGTTCAGTTTTTGCCAGGGGCAAATTGCGAACCGCAGACGCATTTCCGGTCGGAAGAGAAGCGACGACCGGAAATGCGTCTGCGGTTCGCAGGCTAACAACAGAACAGATAATAGTTTTATTTACAGGGGGGGCCGTGTGAGGGCTCCAAAAACCGCAATACCGCACGTGGTAGAGAAAGAAAACCGCAATACCGCATCGAAATTTACCCAAATACCGAAACCGCAGTTACAAATGGTAAAAAAGTTGCCCATCTCAAGACTAACATCCCCCTTTTAAATAGAAATAACATTTTTATGTCAGTGTTTCCAAATCAAGGTGCGTCGATGTTAAGGGTACAATAAACATACGACCATTTCACTCGTTTTTGTTCATTAAAAACGTTAACGTAAATGATATAACAGGCGTTCTCTAGTATTACTTTATTTATGACTGACCTGGATCATAAACTCTGACGGAAAACAGCTGACTCCTATGAGGCTGTCTCCTGTTCACATTTGACTCGGTTCTGTGTTGAAGATTTTCAAAGTCGACCCAGTTGTCGACCAGTGAAAGGGTTGACTACGTTGGGCTGTCTCTGGGATTCGATGGGCACATAGTACACCCAAATACTAGTACATAAGTATAAAATTAAATTCTATACATTCCGTCATGCACAACGAGTAGGACGAGTAGTAATTTTTAGACCACATCATCTTCATAGGTTATCTTTCAGCCTTTTCGTGTAAAAACCTTCGTAACAGACAAAAAGACATTTGTAATATGATAATCACGAAAATTGAGTTGCCAGAATTATTTCATAACCCACTCGCGTGCGTGTAAATTAAACATGCTGACAATGAAATCTTTTAGAATTTATACATGTCGTGTTTACATTTGAGCTTTTACCAAGGTAAAACTTTACTAAGGTCAAGTTACTTAACCTTGGTACATTCGTCCAGTGTTTACACTAGCTCAAATAACTCAAGTTGATCTGTCAACGCTCCCGCTGTCTGCATTATCTACGTCATGAAATCAAACTGGCGGGAATTCTAAAACCATGCTCGCTTCAAGAAGTAAAGTGGTGGCTTTCGTGGCCATTGGTTTTTCTTTCTTAATTCAAGAGCCGCAAACAGAAACGTCAAGATTTCGTAAGATGTTGATGTTACAACACCTCAAGAGCTCGAGGCGAAAACGGATGGTTTTACTCCGAATTGCTTTAAAAAATATCAGACGAGCTAGACGTGCGTGGGCATGGCCGCAAAATCAGTTCTAGTTTGAGAGACTTTTACAAGGAGATTTCGTGGAAGATTGGTGGAAAAAAAAATTTCAGGATATCAAGGCGTTCCAATCATTCTCTGACTTATCTGCCATGATAGAAACGCTTGGCCGAAAACGTGACAATCGCACGATCTGCACACCGCGGGATGTGACATAATTACACCGCACAAGCGGATATATCTGTCATCTTGACCTTGGTTACCAACTGTAACCATGCCTGATCACAGGGTAATTACAAATTTTACCTTGGTCAAGTTTCTTTTGTCTTTTGCGGCATTTATTAAAGTATCAGTTAGCGTTTACACACGAACAATTTTTACCTAGGTAAGTAAACTCTCGTACCTCAGTAAACCGTTCAAGTTTTCACCGATTACCGCGACATTAAATTTAAATTTACCGCATACCGCTTAGACTCTGAAAACAGCAATACCGTACTTTCAAATAAAAATTACCGCAAAACTGCACCAAAAATAACCCAATTTAATAGGTCAATTAAATTGTTAAATAGACTAGAAAGTAGTCGAGGTTCCTTTGACGCGTTGAATAAAGTAAAACAAAGATGTATTACAACAATAGTCTTTGTCAGTTTGTCGGGTTTCTGACATATACTGAACATATGAAAGTTTCACCTACTAAAAAAAAATTAGCCATCGGGAAAAAAAAAAAAAAAAAGATTTCCACCTTACATGTACAAGAAAAAAATCTTGCATCTCTTAAAAAGCATTTCAGGTGTAATTCTTTTTGTCTACAGGTTGATGATTGGAAGCCCTAAAAATAACAGAGAAAATTGTCCAAGAAAATGCTTTTGAGCACAAGAAAAACAAACCAGGGTTAATTTAATATAAAGCAATCGGAGTCCCTATGGTTTTAAATATAATCAGTTATGTTTATATTTCATTTTAATTCACCGGCCCTGTTATTAATTTACAGACAGTCAAATTAACTTTGAATATCGATAAATCATTTTCGAGAGAAATACTATGATAATTGTGGGCGGTTGTGCTCCAGGGCACGCTATCGCTGTGTAACTTGTAAAAAATTGCTTGACAGTGGCAAAACGCCATACAAACCGAATGAGCAATAATAGGGTGTTTTCATTAATGCTGAACGAAAATTTCGCTGTTCCTTATTCCAGTCAAAATGAGAAAAATTATTATTGCAAAGGGCATTATTGACCACCTGATTATTCCATTATTCTAAAGGACAAGATTTCTGTGATTATTTATCTTCAGTCACTGAAAAAGAATTACTTTACACAGAAATTTTTGTACTTCATACTACTTCAAGAAAACCATTGAAGTTTGACCATTTTCTAATCCCCTATACTGCCCCCTCCCCCTCCCAATGTGTCGTTAATGATGTATATTTTGCAAACCCTCCATTCTTACTTTAGGTTATAAAAAAGCTGCAAACCTTTTGACAGCCGCTTTGTTTGTGTGACTCAACATCTAGGATATAAACAAGTTCTGATGTGATTCAGTTTGTTTTTGAAATCAAGTAAAAAGTAATTATAAATGCGAGGTAGTGTTAAACGGAGTGATTCTCATATAGCCGAAGCTTAATTTTATGTGAAAGATGAATGCATTTAATCGCTTTATTTTGAGTCATTTAAGGCAATGGACTACAAAAGCTTAACGTTCTATTCTTTTATCAGCCGGTTTTGCGCCATTTTTAATTATAGTTTTCCTTCTTACTGAAACATGGCGCGCTATTTCTTCGGGCCAAATCTAATTATTAGAATTATTAGAAATAACTACAGTCAAACCTATATCTTTGGGAATGGCTTACTTACCGCTTAATACAGCTTGACTCTTTCATACAAGTTTGACAAACCTATCTAGGACCGGAGTTTATCAAGAAAATCAAGATGGTGACAAAGCGAAATATCCACAACACGGCAACTGTTGAAGGGGTACACAAACTGTTTTACCTTTTTTTGTGCCAAAGTGACCGTTGAATAGGAGGAGACAATAAAAAATAACTCGTTTGGACCATGAAAAAGGTGACCGGGTCAGTTCTATAGTAATTCCGGGACTTACGAAAGTGACCGCTTAATGCAGGTCCACTCAACTTAATACACGTTAGATCGTATGTTATGAGCTGGGCAAGGAAAGTAAATAAATGTTACCGCTTGCTTACTAGCGATGAAAGATTTCACTTAAAGATTCTAAAATAGATTTATGTACTTTTAACAAATCTCCTTATTCAAATGTACGCTTCATCTAAGAAGAAAATTATAACATATCAGTTTTTTAATATGGATAATATATAATCAACAATCTTACCATTTTTACCTACGCTAATAGGGAGGTTACGCAACGACGACGAGGGCGGCTACTAAAAGATCACTTAAAAAGTGAATTTGCACTCCCTCAGACTTAACCTCGTTAAATCCGTCAAATGTTGGCAAATTTTTTTGGAGTTGAATTCTAAAGTGAGGACTGGATCAAAGTTCAGGAAAAGAAAAAGAAAGTTGTCTTCTGTTTCCGTCCTCGACAAAACGTGAAATTAGTGCGTAGTTTCACGTTGGAGTCGTGCAACGACGGCAGAGGAACGTAGAAAACAGCATGATGGACGTGCAAAGTTGTTGTTTTGCTTGTCCAAACCTATTTCGTTTTTGCCGTTCTCCTTGCCCTCGCCGCCGTCGTTGCGTAAACTCCCTAATAAAAAAGTGTGTTCACAGCTCAGTCGCTGAGTTGTCTGAGTTGAGATCTAGAATAGCCGGGCAATATTTTTATAGTCTATATATCTATGTGGTCGAGTGAGCTAGTGATTAACTAAAGGCTATTGTATAAGCAGTTCTCGCTGCTCTTTCGAGCTCTTTGAGCAATATTAAAACCTTTCATGCTCCGGATGAAAAGCTGGAAAACAAGTCTACGTTTAATCTAACCACCCGTCCGGGTCATGATCTGTAGTCGTTTTAAACTAAAGCACACTTCCATTTACCTCCCTAAATAGTGAGCCATACGCGTTACAAAGCTTGTTTAAATTTAAAGCGGAATTCATGACAACTCAAGAACGGCTATGCTTATTTAAAGTCTTTTACTTGTTTCATTGACGAAAAATGTTCAGGAACCTATTTAGCTTCTTTTCCCAAATCGTCTACCCCCGTTTCACTGTTTCACTTTATAAGTAACATATTCTGGATATTTCAGTCGCTTCAATTGTGTCAATGAGGCAATGAACTGTCTTTTTGAGCTTTTAAACACACTCTTTTTCCTGATCCCGGGAATAATAAATTTTTAGACCAGCAGTGACTTTTAATTCTTCTGCAAAACCTTGTAGCTGTAATTGATGGCATACTTTATTCTGCCTTCCAGAATGAAAGAATAAAATTGCTTATAGATAATTGCAGCTTAGTTTCTGATATTTGTTCAACATTCACTTTTTTTTTTTCATTTATTTGTGAGCTCTTTGTTGCAGTGTTTTAACGGCTTGTGCTGAGCCGCAAGGTATCGTTGTAACGAAGTCACTAATGATTAATTTCAAGATTTTCAGTTAGCTGTTATATAACTTTAGAGCTCACTGTTACGTAAGAGTTGAAATTAAGAAATAGCCAAGTTTGGTTTAGCCTGCGAACCGCAGACGCATTTCCGGGACCGGAAATGCGTCTGCGGTTTGCAGGCTAAGTTTGGTTAGGAAAGGCTCTGGAAAAGTACATGCACACTGTACATCACGTGAACTCATTAGTAAAGAACAAAGATTTGTTTGTCCCTTTTATCCAGACGAATCTGTTAAGATCTAGCCTATCCTGTTTTAATGTGTCAATCAAGGTGTGTATCTAGCCTTAAAATCGATCAACCCTAGCACTGCAGTCAGTTCAGCTTAGTCGGTGACGGAGTGAACCACAACAGCTTAACTGGACTTTTGAGTACGTTTCGACAAAGAAGCAATCAGTTCTTCTCAACATGGCTCTTTCAAAGCAAGTAAGTGAATTTTCCTGACTCCAAGCAATGAATTTGAAGTCTAATCTACTTTGACAATAAGGACTAACCTTTAGCTGTATTTGTAGCACACTCAGACCATGCCACACCCTAACGACAGTTATCAAAAGTTACTGAAAAGGCTTATTCTCAGTTGACTCAGTTACTGCATAAAAGATAAAGCTGTATAATTTTCTGATGTTCAGTTACTTGCCTAGTCTGCTAAAAACGGCTGTGTAGCAGACTATTACTTGCCTTTCTGTGTCATGGGCGGCTATTGTTGTTGTTTTTTTTGTTTGTATTTTTAAATCTATTTTTGTACTAAACGTAATCAATTGTCTTTCAAGTGGAATTCTGCGAGACAGTTCTTATTTATTTTTAGAGTTTTCCTGAGTTTAAATACATTTTGTGTCAATAACTGTAGACACGATCCAAAATGAAAATTTACAATACAATCCTTAGTCACTGCAGAACTATTCCAAGAAAAATACCGCGGTAAACTTTAAATGTCCTTGCACAGACAACGAAACTTTCTGTTTGAAATTACGAGAAACACTGGACACAACTGTTGTCTTGTGGTGTGCCTCAGTGAAAGCTTTCATCGAAATTTTCGAAGAAAACAAAAATACCTTTTCGGATAATTGTTATTACCAAAAGAGGTATTTTTATCGTAAACCACTGACTAAAGTTAGGACAACAAGTACCGAAGAACCCGCGACACTACAAGAGACATAATTGAGGACCTGCGCAGTTCAAGCCTCTACCCCAATATTCACACAACTCTGCACCTTTTGATGACCAGTCTCTGATAGGCCTTTCCCGATTGCGCTCGTAAAATCCTAAAAAAGTGCTGGCAAAAATGGCTAAAAACTACTTGGTTTATTGGTGTTGAAGTAAAGCAAGAGACTACTGCACCCCCTCCTAAAAAAAATCCTGGATCCGCCCCTGCAGAGCCTATTCTATCAATGTTTAACCGGAAATATGGGAACGCATTTTTTCTTTTTAGTATTTATTTAATTAAACACCAAAAAAAGGTAAAAAGGTAAAAGATCGTTTCATTCACTGCTTTTGCAGTTAATTCATGCGCACTAATTATGCAGCAGTTAATAAAACCGGGTGCGTGGATTGATATTTGCGCGACGTATAGATAATCAAACAAGCAAATTAATAAATGAATAAATGAAAAAATAATGGTTTTTATCATCATTTTCTTGCAAGACTGGGATCCTACCTGAAATGATTACCAAGCTTCACATGGAGGGGGTCGTCAATGGACACTCCTTTGAGGTACAAGGAAATGGTAGTGGTCAGCCTTACGAGTAAGTTCCAGCTAGTTAAATGCAGTAGCCTCTTGTTTAAAACAGATCTCAAACAATAAACCCCAAACCTCCCACGCTTTTTTTTTTAAGGGACTTTTTCCCTAACACCGAATCATTTCAGCCTTAATCGTGCACGCCTAAAAAAAACGCTCAAAGTATACTTATTTTAAATAGGCATCAGGGCTCCTGGCAGACCTAGTCTTCTGGTGCAGGAACAGAACCTAATTACCATGATAGCATGGTTTATTACGAGTAGCAAATTCTGACTTCTACTGGTTATAAACAAGTATACAAGGGGGGGGGGGGGGCCTTAGCAAACTAAATATAAAATATGCTAATTTCTAATGCGTATAAACTCTTTCTTTAAAAAGGGGTGTGCAGAAAATGAAGCTTACAGTCACTAAGGGTGCGCCTTTGCCATTTTCTATTGACATTTTGCTGCCTCAATACATGTATGGAAGCAAGCCATTTATCAAGTATCCTGACAATATCCCAGACTACATCAAGTTGTCATTTCCTGAGGGAATCACATGGGAAAGAACCATGACCTTCGAAGATGGTGCAGTGTGCACTGCCTCAAACGACTCCAGGTAATCGAAACTAAATTTGAATAATTTGAATTATTCAAATAATTGTTAAAACAATTATTGGATGAGTATCATCTGAAGAATTATGAAGATCGAGGGCGGTGTTATCCATCAGCCGAGGCGAAAAGTTCTTTAGGTGATTCGAAAGCCGAATTCAATGATTATTTTATTATTCATTCAAAATAATTCCCAGTTTAAACACAAGCTAAAACATGCTTACCTTCATCAATGCTAAGTTCATCTTTAATTGCCTGTTCATCGGCAAGTTTAGGAGATTAAGGGTTATTCAGTACTGCAAATATTCTCCAAATAGCACATGTCGTCTGTCGAGTTGTCTTCTTGCTGTTCTTGCTATGTTTTTAGCCAGTAGTTCGCCTATTTCTTCCCCGTTAAACGAGTAAGTGAAATGTTCTGCCATTTTGTACTCGGTAAGCACTTGTTTCCATATCTCAAACCTCCCTCTCCCTTTTCACTTACACTTACATGAAATGTCTAAGTTTTTTGACTCACAGACTTAATTTCTACTCAACAAATGTCGTCAAAGTGCAAGTCTCTTCAAATTTAAAAGAAAAAAAAAATTGCGAATCACGAGCAGGAATCGATCCCTGAGTGCTAAATCTGTAATCTCATGCCCTAACCACCAGACCACAGAGAAGTCGTTGCAGGAACTTGGAGTAATTTAACTATACTGTAGCGAAAACCCTAACCCTAAATAAAAGCTAACCGTTAACCCTAATCACTATTCTAAGTGTTTAACCCTAATCAGTATGGTCAGTGCTTAACCTAAATCAGTATTATTAGTGCTTAACCCTAATCACTTTTGTCAGGGCTCACTCATATATGTATACATATATGCAATTACTTTGTGTAGGCATCACAAGGTATCCAAGGGCGGTTTGAGATATGCAAACTACCGTTTACCGTTTTGGTTACCAAAACAACTCGGTTAAATGTTCAGTTTTCTGGCAAGTATGCTGCACAGTTTACGTCATTTTTCACATATCGCAAAATTCTTCCAAATTTGGTGCACAGTAGCTGGTTATGATGAATTATGCCTGAGATTTTAGCCAATCAGAAACGAAGAAATGTTTTGAATGAATAATAACAAAAATTATTGGAACACAACAGTAGATATTACCTATTACCTGATCCACGTTGCTAAGGAGTAGCTAACTAGGGTTGGTTATCAACCCTTGTTCATTATAACTGCAAAAAAAAATTTTCTACCCCTGTCAGACAACAGGTGTAGATGTCCAATACTTCAACCACTGTGAATGAACCAATTATGTTGACGAAAACACTAGGTCTTCTGTCAGTACATAGTGGTGCAGAAATATGCAATACATGTGGTCTGGAAATCGTCCAGTACTTTTCACCTCTCAAGACTTGCGAAATAACTTTGAATAAAATGTCTTTTTTATGAAAAGACTCGTTGGCAACTGTTTCATCTACGAAGTCAAGTTTCAAGGTGTAAACTTTCCCCGAGATGGACCTGTTATGCAGAAGAAGACAAAAGGCTGGGAACCGTCTACTGAGAGACTGTATGAGTGGGATGGGTGTCAGAGAGGAGATGTCGACATGGCCTTGAAGTTGGAGGACGGTGGCCATTATACGGTCAACTTCAAAACTACTTACAAGTAAGTTATTTACCCCTGCGCCTTCACAATTGCAATATAAGCAAAGCGAGACATTTTTAAAATTTACTTTTGTCTTAACCCTTCAAGAATGATATCCATAATTTGTCAAGAGACTAGGTTATGAGAACAACAATGGGAAAATGCCTTGATCTTTTACAAGATTCTCTCAACACATTCTTTATGGAAATGTATAGAGATTAGTTTGGAGAATTTGTATGTGGATATTGGGACTTAAAGGGTTAAACTGTAAAACAAATAGCCACTACTACGCAATAGTGCTTTTCGCCTTTCATGATGGCTTGTGATTTTGCACAATCGTGCTTCTCATATTCACGTGGTTTTTTCCGACTCAAACACGTAAAAAACTCAGAATCAGCTCGTACAGCATAATAAACAATAAGACCACAAGGGAAAAATAAATGTACAAATGGTTGTTTTAAGTGGTCACTACACAGCATTTCTTCCACAGACCCAAACGTTAGAACCTCGTTGAAAAGCATTTTATAAACAGTACCACAAGAAAGTACTGCTTAGTAGCTTTCAGGTCTTACCATAAGATTTTATCCACAGACTCGAAAGCACGTTCAGTCAGAACGAACCAACTCTGGTACAACATAATAAATAGTACCACAGGAAAGTACGTATATACCGGCCAAGAGGATCCAATTGAATGAAGACATGCACTTTTTAGGATTTCGTCCAAGAACTTAGACGCACGTAGCCATGTCTCAACGTTCCTCAGGGCTGTGCATAATGCACCCGCCCGATAACGCCGTTCTAATACTGAGAAGGGGATTTACGGAGCAAGTTTATAACTAAGATTTAAAACAAGAATAAGAAATAGTAGAAGTAACTCCATACAAGTAGGCTACTCCTGAGCCAAGCTAGTTGAGAGTTTGCCAATTTATTATCGCGATAGCTTTTCATATTGCTCGTCCTAACCAGTATTTGAGAGCATGGACAGGCTAAAATTCTCATAAAGTGCGTTTAATATAACTGTACGAGATTAAAACGACAATGAACCGTTCTGTAAAAATTGAACAGTTTGGCCAAAACAAGGCTTAAATATCCGATTTCCTGATAATCAACACCAAACTACAATTAAAACAAGCGAACAAACATGAAGAGAAAAAGAGAAAACTGATGGAAGAAGAAGCCGGTAAAACATGGGCACCCAACGACAATTTTTGGAAAATATCTGTTCGGAAGACGATTTGAGATCTAGAATTTTCGGAACATTTGTTGTAAAAATTCTTGCCTGCCTGCTTCTCCTAGGATTTGAGAACATCTAAAAATGGTATAATTGCCCATTTTTAAAGACTTTTTTCCTTAGAAAAGTCACGTAGAATTTTCGGGAGCCTTTTTTCTGGCTGAAATTTTCGAAAAGGTAGACTTTCAGCTACGAAATCCGAACAGATGAAAAATTTTGGGGGGGATAAAAATATGCCTATATCTTCCGTTTAAATACTAAAATACGTTCAACAATGCTATGTTTAAGTGGTTTTGAACTATATTCTCGTTAAGTGCCCCTGGTAAAAGAAAAAATAATTGTTGTCTCAGTTTTTATAATGATCCATTCCCGAGACAAGACAAAGGGCAATAACCGAAAATGAACGTGGAAGAGTATTAAGGTAGACGTTTATCAACGAGACAAATTTTGTGGCTTGATTTATTTGCATGGCATTTTGATCGATTGTTAGTCAGCGTCTATTTTCAACCTAACATTAATTGTTTGTTTGTTTTTTGCAGATCAAAGAAGAAAGACTTGAAGGTGCCACCGTATCACTTCGTTGACCACAAACTAGAGCTACTGAGCCACAACATCGTTGGCACCAAAGAAAACTTTGAGCAAAAAGAAACTGCTCATGCACATCTTTCTAGCCTCAACTCCCTTAATCAGTAATCAGGCGAAGTGAAGAAACAAGCAATGGCGAAAAGGCAATAGTGAAAAACCAGTAGCTGATTTCAGCTAAAAGTAGTAGGACAGTAAAAATGTAAACAACAATTAAGCCTTGCTTATTAAATCTTGCATTTGAATATAGGTTTTCTGTGTTCCCTTTTGTTCGTTTTTAATGTCGACACGTAAGCTTCTGGGCGACGTACGCAAAGAAGGTGGTATAACTATTCGATGTCTTTCCTGAGTCTCGCCCAGTTTTCTCTCCACTTATGTCCAGGATTGAACTCTGCTAGGAAATTTTCAAAAGTAGCGAATTTTCGCGATGACCTTGTGAAAACTACAAAATTTACACAGTCAATTAACGATCTTTCGCGATGACCTCGCGAAAATTACAAAATATAGTTAAATCAGCGATATTTCGAGATGTCCTTGCGAAAACTGCCAAATTTACAATATTCATGATTTTTTCGTCAGACCCTACGGCAAAATTGTCAAAATTCTTCTCCCTTCGTTATGTTAATGACAACACATCCTCAAAGCGGCGCTGCAGATTTTACAATTTGAACGGAAATTGCAAAATTCGCAAATTTCACATTTTTTCGTCAAAACCTTCCGCGAATTTGTCACAATTTTTCTCCCTTCTTTATGTGAAGAAAAACACATCCTCGAAGCGACGCTGCACGTATGTTTTATAACCTAAGTAAGCCGTGTATAAAATGATTTGGATTGCAACAAGAGAAACACGATATGAACACGCCTGGTTCTTCAAGTCAAGTACAATTACGCCTAACAATTTTGATACCAACAAAAGAGTACCTAAAGCACGCGTAATATATATAGAGGATATTACACGGTGGCGAGAAGAT